TCTGTAGAATTAAATTAGGGGCCCTGAAACAAACCTGCTGATCCTCAACCCAAACAGGGCTGCTGCTCTGCAGATTCTGTCCAGAAACCTCCTTTATTGATCTCATCATTGATGTTTTTCATGAATCAGAGCTGTAATTTCAACCCCCCCTCACAACAAACCAACCTAGCTGCTGAAAATAACCCAGCAGCCTGCAGAGCAGTAAATTCCCAATGCCTGTTGCCATCAGCCACCCTGGGTTTCACCACAGTGCCAGAATGTTTTGGGAACCTCCACAGCACAGCTACACGACCAGGAAAATAGTGAAGCATCCTTTCCCACACCATAGAGCTTCCTTTTGGTCTGCCAATTTGGATATTGACCCTGAGGTGGGCCAGCACATTGCTCTTTCTCCCCCATCTTTGACAGGTGAGAGATTCATTTAGAAAAAGAACAAGGCAAGCACTGAAGAATTTTGATAAATCTAAGAACAAAAAACCTCTCTCTAAACTGCTCCTTTTCCCCTGCTCTACACCTCAAAACTCCAGCAAGCTGAAAGAGAGAGAATCACACAGGCTAAATTCAACACAGGGGCTTCCTAAAGGCTCACTGGCAACACATGATACCAGTAAATGAACCACTGATGAATGAAAGCCAATTTCTTCTGATAAATACACACCAAATCTCAATACAGAACTGCACCACCCACAGAGCCAGCGTCCGTTCTGAAACAGGAAACTCCACCCTGCCCTCCTGAGAAATGACAAACAATTTGGGGGGTTGAAGATCACTTTAGCCTTTTAAGGTAAGGTCTATTCGAGGCATTGTTATAAAGTCAGTGATAAAATCAAATTTATCATCATTTTCAGGGTCAGGACCGTTACGGCTGGGCAAAACTTCACCAGCAGAAAATTAGGTGGATTTTTAATGAGGGGTGGCACTTGGGGTTTGAACATGCAGTTTGTTTACTTTTCTGCTCATGAATTAAATCTTTTTGATGTGTAGTTTGCCGTGAAGAACCTGTTATAAAAAAAAATGGGATGGTTTGAGTAGCACTGACAAGGCTAAGACAGCAAAAAGATCTTGACCTTGTTCTGGAGACCATAAATCTGACTTCTGAAAAGGCTACAGACAATCTGCTGCTATTAAATGGTGTTGTGCATGCTGCTAGCCACTCTTTAAGAAGACTTTTGGCTCCCAGAGTGTCCTCAGTATAAGATATTCCAGGGAGCTACAACTCTGCTGGATGTTAGTGACTCCCACCATCAGAGGAAAATGTTTAGGAGAAAAACACCAGTTGTTTTTTTTTTCATTTCACACAAATAACTCTTTTTGAGAAAAAAATATGACAAGTGTATTTTGGAAAGGAGTTCATCCAGAGGGGAGAGAGGTGCCAGCCTCACCCCAGAAGGAGCCAGAGTGACCAAACTGCACTTCCTTCTCCCTGTGCCACTGTCCTGATGGCTGTAGTACCAAAATCTCTCAAAGGCGCAGGGATTTTGGAGAGGGGGAGGGCTTAGAGGCCATCAAATACCTCCTCAGGGAAAACTTTTGAGCCCTGTGCCTAAATGAAGTTTAAAATCTGATTTCTAGTGCCAGTTTCCCCAGCCCTGCAGCTACTCTTCCTGGGCCGGATGCTGGGTTTTATACTGAAACCCTCCTAGAGTGGAAACTCTGTGCTGCCCTCAATCTTCAATTCTGCTCCTTCTAATCCCCTGAGCATCAGCAGACACTGGGGAAGTTTCCTGAACAGAGAGAGCTCTGGTCAGTGCCCCATAGCATGAGACTCATTTCTTGCCCCTACTCACAGATTTCCCCTTCTGCAGGTTCCCTTCACAGGCCTGTTTGGAGAGGTCCTGGCGCCCGATCAAGAGACAAACTGCTTCTGGCCAGTCTGAGGCAGGCTGCTCCCTGCAGTGGTATATTGCATCTCTGATGGGAAGAGCCACACCAAAGGGGAGAGACTCCAGATCTCTCAAGGTGAAACCTGTAAATCAACCAGGAAGAAGAATAAACTAGATGCAGGGGATAATTTAGGATTGTTCCCGTTTCGCACAGCGATAAAAGCTGCTCTTACCAACATCAGTCATCCAAAGAACTAACTTCTCAGCCAGGCTAGACACAGATGTGCTGTGTCTGAAACTGCATCTGTGAAATAAAGGGGAAATCTGATGAGAGCTAGTCTAAAAGCCAGCAGAAAGTCAAAAGCTCAGGAGTTGAAAATAAAAATCATACTAAAAAAAAAACCCTCCCCCTACCGATCGTTGTCCTGCTCTATCTGTGGTTTTCGTTGTCCTAGGAAAGACAAGGAGAGGTTAATTCCACTTTCTCCAAGGAAAAGGACAGCACAAGACATGAGGAGATCCCCTGATGCCATCAAAGAAGCATTACCTGATGTAATCTTGTACAAATAATGGGAGGCTTCGTTAGACACGGCGCTCTCGTCACCAAGGATGTACAGAGCTGAACTCTGGGGGTAGGAGAGACACCACGACACCAAATCACTTGGTGTGCAGCTACTGCCTATCAAAACAGGCTCAAGATCACTTCAATAACTCAAACAGTGACAAAACTGTTACTTAAAGGAGAATGGAACAACTGAAGCAAGAAGCAAATCTTTACGTTTAAATTCCTATCTCAAAGTCTGGGGAAAAAAAACACATCCTGGAACAATTAACTGAGTTCTCCCTAATAATTGCTTTGAAAGTAAAAGGAAAAAGGTCTTCTAAACAGAAAAATGTGTTCCTGGTCATCTTTCCTATGTTCCCCACATTTAATTTCCCTTGCAAAACACAGGCATCATCTCCAGGCACCATTTCTCCCTGGGTTTCCTCCACATCTTTGTGAAGGCTCCCAGTGAAAAGTTGTTCCCCATTCAAAGCAGGGCCCATTGCCAGCAAAACCAAAGGGGTCTGTCACCCCATTTACTTGTTGATACTGCCAGACAAGCCAGCATGTCACAGGCAAAAATCACAGGGAAAAAAAAATCTGGTTTCAGGAAGATCTTCCAACAGGCTGCACTGCTGACCTGCCAGCTCTGACTCCACCCAGACAGGTCCCACAGAGGGAGGAGGAAAAAGCTGGATGGCCAGACATGGGCAACGAGCCCAAGGGAAAGGCTACAGCTCTTCAGAGCCTGGGTGGCAGGAGAAACACTGAGGGGAAAGCAGCAGCACCCTCAGGAGCACCCTCAGCACACCTCTGCTTGGAGCCTCTGTGGGCAGGTTTCCTCTCTACATGCCTGGTGAATAAGAAGGTAACATCAGCACTTGGAACTCCTCATGTGACTCAATATTGATGTTGATAGGTGCCCAGGAAGAAAGCTGGGAAACTCTCCCTCACAAAATACAGTTCACTTTGAGTCCCATTATTCCTTTGCACATGCCACTATGGCAAACCACAAACAAAACCAGGGGCAGTGAAGCACAGGCTCCTCATGAGCTCCCTTCCCAACTTCAGGTACCTCCTCCCACCTCCTAAAACCCATCCCCACCCTTCAGGAATAGCAGAGTAATAAAAGAGAGGGCTCAGGGGGATTTCTCTCTGTTAAATGCACATTATTCCCCCTGTGGAGAGGCTCAAGAGAATTCAGCACCAACAGCTGAGGTCTGCTTAGTACAGAGCAGCAACACGTGGAGGTGCTGAAGCCTCCAAGCAGCATAGACACATCAGAGTTACTCTCCACAAGGCCAAGAGCCTTCCAATTACAACCCCACTGCAATGAAACCCTCTGTTCTTTTGCCTTCCCACTGGGGATGCTTCACTTGCAGGCAATGAAGCAGTTGGGGTGAACCCTGCCAGAACACAACCCATCCCTTCAGCCCCAGTCCATACCAGTACGACCAGTTTGCTCCTTTCACAGACATCTGGCAAGTAGGGGTAAGGCTGCACTCCTTCTCCCTTCAGGCAGCAACTCAGCCACTGGAAGATACTTGGAGGCTCAGCAGAGAAAAAGGAGGGGTGGTGCATGAAACCTGTTTGGGCTTAATCACATCAGCAGCAATGACACTTGAGTTGAGGGCAAACGCGCAGGAATTCTCCACCATGCCCAAAGCCAGCCCTTCTTTTCCCCCCAAAACCATCCTGTTCCCCCAAAACCTTCACAGCTAGACAGTAAAGAAAACCTGAGACACCTCCCTGACTTTCACACACCAAAATTCCTCTTCCCTGTGTAAAAAAATCCAGAGTCATTCTCCAAAACCTCACTGGAACTGGAACTCCACCACATTAAAATGCTTCAGGGAGAGGACAACCCAACTACAGCCTCTTTGCTGTCCCTGTTCCCAAAGAGGAGCAGCAAAGCCTGAGCAATGCCACAAAGTGGGGTGGTTTTTGCTCAGAAGAAATAGTTTTTCTTACCTGACTAGGAAATTTCAGCTGGCAGGACACTGAGCAGGGGCACAGACAATACAAGACCTCATTTTAACTGGAAGGTTTGTGGTTTTAGCTCTGATTTGGTTTTTAAGGACTATAAAGGGAAAGCTTGCCAGCCTAGCAATCCTTTCCACAAGAGAGGCACATCTCACTACCAGCCTTTCCCACCACTGGCTGCTAAGATTCCTCAGCCTGCCCAAGCTGGGAGTTGACCAAGATAACACTCCCTCCAAAGACCTTGCTCTGTGGGGTGTCCTGTGAGGCCTCCAGGACTCCATTAGGCTAATTTCACTCTACTTGCCTTAGGAGGTGATAAAAACCAAAAGAACAAGGCAACCTCAGCCCTGTGAGCAGAGTTTGGCATATTGGGTTATCTCCTGCCTGGTTTTCATCATCATCATTGAATATTCAGCTTCTCAAAGCCTTCAACTCACCTTGATCAATTATGCAGCTCTGTCGGGAGGTTTTCACAAGGGCTGGATAGTCTCTGTAGTAATAATCTATATAAGCTTCAAGGTTTAAGTCCCTAGAATGAGAGAGATGGGGTAGAAACAGCAAATACAACTCAAGGAGATGGCACTGGGCCTTGCAAACAGGTATCTGTATCCATCCAGCCCTGTGCAGGCAACACAGCTTGAAGGTGTTTGTGGAAGATGTGAAGTCACTGGTTGCACTGAAGGTGCCATAAACACAAGAATATCTGACAGATCTCATCAGCTGAGCTGGGACAATACAGCAGAAAAAAAACCCCCCATGAGCTGCAGCATCCAAGATCTGTGAACCACACTGATGTTGGGAAGTGGCCAGAAGCACCTAAGGGATCTGCTACAGCCAAGATCTTTAAGCACAATAAAAATCTAAACTATTCATTTTTTTTCCAAAGACATGAAGTCTGCTTGACTTTGGGCAGTCCCCAAATTCCCCCCATGAACAATACACACCCAAGAGACACATGATATGCAATATCTGCCATTTGTCATGGGCCTACCTGGCCAGCTGGACCAGAAGAACAACAAGTGAACGAATTCCTTCTCCCATGAGACTATTCAGTTTGAGCTCCTCATAGATGAGGTGAAGGACAAAGAAAATGGCAGGAATGTGGGTGAAAAGGAGGGTTGAGGAATCCAAACTAAGGCTCTGTGAGAAGTCATCCTTTGGAGCTGAAATTTCCAGAGGGTCCAGCCTCAAAGCTTTGGCAACAGGATGAGACTCAAAATTCGTGTGGTAATCAGAGCTCAGGAGATATTCCCAGTCCTAGACCAAACAAACAGGGAGGAGAAGAAGATGAAGGGTGTTTCCTCTGGTCTGCCCTTAAAAAAGCCAAACCAAGAGACCAAGACACCCCAAGGCTCTAATTTGTTATAAAAAGAATCATTTCTTACTTCATCTGACCCTATTTCTGATGGTCTAGCCTTCTTTGGAGCAATAACTGGTGAAAGTGATCCTTCAAAATCAAGCTGGAAGAAAGAAAAAGATCAAGAGTAGCTCACTACTGAAATTCCCCAGGTTGCACAAGTGCATCACCCAGTGTAACAGCCAAATTCAAAGCATTATATGACATTGCTTTGGGTATTTCTTTGTTTTCTTATAAAGCATCCCATTTTTTTCTAGCAGTATCTCATACAGATACACTGAGATTCCTAGCAGGAAACTCAGAAATTTTAAACACACTCAGTAAAACAGTTGGAAAAAACAGAGCTTTAAGTGTTGTAATTAAAAGACTCCATGAAAAATCCTCTTTGGGAAAGAAGAATTTGAGTTGTGGTTTGTGCTTCTAGCCCAAACATGATCTAGGTGAATCCAAGTGTGTGTTAGCCAGGGAAGGGAGTAAAACCTTCACAGGGTTGCTTTAATTTCACCAAGGCAGATGGTGCTAAGTATCTTAAAATACATCCCCCAATAAACACAGGCCAAAATACACACCTAAAATTTAGCAATGGACAACTGATTTGATGGCATCTTGGCATTTAAGAGAAGATACAACCTATTCCTGACCCAACTCAGTGTCTAACTGTTCTGAAGACTTCCCAGCAGGACAAGAACCACATGAGCTGCCTTACATTCCTTGTCCAGGAGAGTCTCTCTGTGTTGTAACCCATCATGTTCATGAGGCATGTCACAAATAAATTCCATTCTGAGTGATAGCTTGGTCCTCCTGGAGCATTATAAGCATTGTACCACTTGACAAGCATCTGCACTGCAACCTCCTTGGGCAGGATGGCTTTGACCCCTTGCAGGCATCTTTTCACTGGAAAAATTTTAAAAAAAAAGAAATAAAATGAGGTTTCTTTCCCAGCTTAACTTCTGGTACTTCTTCCAGTCAGTGCTATATAGTTCTTGAATCCCCTTTTAACTCTCTGGCAGCTCTTTCAATAAAAGCCACACCACACAACCTCTTAACAGCTGTTCCTTCAGTTCAGGTTAAGCACAGTCCCTCTAATTCACCACACAAAAGGGGAAAAAAGGTTCCTTTTTGCTCATGACTGAAACCAGCCTGTGTCTGAACTGGCATCTCAGCAATATCTGCAAATAATTGTAGATAAAAAGCAACCTGAAGAACAAAGGAAGTTCTAAGAGTGGGGGAAGCACTGAAAGCACCAGGGCAGACCTAAATAAATGAGAGCAACTGTAGACAGTAAGTTAACAGAGCTTGGAATACATGAGACTGAATCATCACAGCCTAAGCTGCTCTTAAATGACTTGAAAAACATGAATCCTCAGAAATTAGGGCACAGGTGCTGGCTCCTGATCCATACCTAGTTCTGAAGTGGCAATTTCAGGGATGGTAATCCGAACCATTGTGTTATTGCTGAGTTCCTGAAAAAAAAAATGACCAAAAAAAAAGGGAAAAGTCAAATTATGAAATGCATGAAGTAAAGCCAGGGTCCTTTCCTAGCAAAGCAGAACTCATTTCTGTCCTCAGCAGATTCCTAATTCTATTGGCTACACTGAAGAGTTGCAATGTCAGATGCCAGCTCCACGAAACACACAAAATACCTCTGGAGCTGAACTGCTTGAGGGAATCAAATCATGTCACTTGTAGAGTATCCTACAGAGACAAAACCATGCTGTGACACTTTGCTGCCCACCAGGAACTGTCAGCACCACCTCACTATGCAGCAGAAGCAAACTGGACCCTCACTTTGCTTTGCTAATGAAGCTTTGGCTCAAATCCCAGGGGAATACTTACCAAGGTTACCCTGTTGTGGACAGGATCTCTCAGAGCATGGATGAAAGTCCCAAGCTGCTGGAAAGTACAATCTTCAATATAAGTTGAATCATAAAGTTTGGAAGCATCCCTTAGCTCTGGAACTGGTGACAAAAGCACCCCCTGAGAAGTGGTAAAAGGGATGGTTTAGAAGGGTGAAAAGAAGAGGGTGAGACAACTAAAATTGCCATTTTTAATGTACTAATAAGTGCACTTTTAGTACTAATAAGTATTTTGAACCATAAATCTTTGCAATCCCTGCCTCAGAAGCTTTCCAGAAATGATAAATAGGCAAACACTAAACAGATCTTCAAACACTGTTTATTTGGGGGATTTACAGAAGAAAAATAAAGCTCCACAAGATCCCTTTAAAGCTAAAAATCAACCCATCATTTAAAGCTGTTCCACCCAAACCCTTTCCAAGGCAGAACTTCCCTTCTCCTCACCTCTTCCAGGGGCCCCAGGTGCTTATGCAGAGGCTTGGCTGGAGTGCTGACACTATCCAGGGGAGTGCTGGGCCGAGGCATTGGGTTGGACATGGTCAGGGATGGAGCAGGCAGCCCAGGAATAAAAACCTTCCCCACCTTTTTGGGAATGATACAGAGGAAAACAAAGAGTTTTCATGCCTGTGTTTCCACCAGCTTGCTTAAGAGATTTCTGTACAGTATTGCCACAGGTCTGCTACCACTAAAAGCTCCAGCAGGGCTTCACAGAGAAAGTTCTGCTTTCAGACAACATACTTCATTTTTAAATATACAGAGAGATGCACACACACATAAAAATTACAGTGCCCAAAGTCTCTGCAGAAGCAGCCAGAGAATCCCTAAAGAATTCAAGAAAATGTGCTGGCTTGATGGTTGGACTTGAGGATCTTCAAGGTCTCTCCCAACCTAAAGGATTCCATCAAGCTTTGATTGTTTTGGATGAATCACATCCATTCCAGCAACAGCCCTTTGTACAGCAAAACAATTTGACATCTAAAACTACCTGGCAGGCATTTTATTGCTTTAAGTGTTTTATTACCCCTGAAAACATGCTCCAGAGATTATTTAATGGTACCACAAGGCACCACGGATGCCTCAGAGCCTTTCCAGCACATCACACTTGCTATGGGAGCACAGCCACCTTCCCCAGCCAGCAGCAGCCTGCAGCAGCTTAGAATGCTGCCTGTGATGCACACAGAACCCCTCTGGGCAGCCCAATTGATTGATCATTGAAGAGTGAAGCATTTATTTTGGGCCAGAAACACTGTTCCTTACCCGAACCACTCCAGAATACAGCACTAGATTCCCACTGCCTTCCAGCACCAGCAGTGTATCAATGCCCTGGAAGAACCAAGCAGAATATTCAGGTTTTTTTTGTTATTTAAGAGAAAAGAGTTGGACCACGTGAGTGACCCAACAGGGATCTCCACAGCCCACACTCCACACAGGGCTCAGTACCTGCACTGGAGCTGCATCCTTGGCTTGAATGTTGGTAACAGAACCAAAGATCAGCTGGGACTTATCGTTGCTCTCTTGAAATTTTACACACCTAGAGATTTGAGAGAAGAACAGGGCATGGAGAAGGACCATCCTATTTGTTCTTAGAGAAGACAGTGAAGACAGCACTGCACAGTGCAGCTGCTTTATTGTGCTATACCTGCTTCCTTCCTCTTTCCTCTGCCCTGCTAGTCCACTTAGTTTTACTCTGCTAATCCAATTAACACCCTCTGTGCACTTCTAAAGGTGAGGATAAAGAAGAACACCACTCAAATCACACTGAATGCTCTCCTGCATTTAAATACCCTAAACCACCTAGGCCACCATGGCTGAAAACACCTCAGAGGAGAGCCAGTGATGCAGCAGAGGGGCTTGGAGCAGATCCCACTAGCTGGAGGAAGTATGTGGAAGCTTTTACCTAGCTGAGGGTTTTTAGAGGTCTCCCCTGTGCCCACTTGTCCCCAGGAGAGGGATGCTCACCTCAGCTGCAGCTGGGATTCCACCAAAAAGCACAAGAACTTCTGCCCACAAAGGTCAGTGGTGAGGAACACTTTGGAGGCCTGGGAATTCTTCTCTCTGTAAAGGAGACAAGGGTCAGCACGCTGCTCAGGCTGCTCTGAAATGTTTCATCCAGTACAACACTGTGTCCACAAGCTGCAGGGTCACTCCAGACCTAGGGCATCAACTGGCAGTATGTGCCTGTCTCATTTTCAGCCCTTACTCCCCAAATTGACTGCCCTGCACCCCCATCTCTACCCTGCCCACTCTTTGGCAGGCAGGGCACAAGCTGCTTGGCTTTGTTCTCCTCTTCAATCTGAAGTTTCACACTTTGTTTTGCCCCTTTTGATGGTAATATGGAAACACTCTCCCTAGAAAATCAAAAAACAACCCCAAAGCCACAACCAGGTTAGGATCTATTTGGCTTTAACCCCTTAAACCTTCCCCAGCAGAGAGTGCTGGAGGGAACACAGTGGGTAAAACAGCTCCAAGTGCCCCAGTTCAGTTTCCCAAGAGAGCTGCACACTCAGTGAGCATCATTTTTAAAATAATTAGGAAGCCCACACATCTATTTGAAGGCAAGAAGCACACGTTCCAATCAACTGGGTGTTTTTACTGCATCCCCCTCTCTGGACTGGAACTGCAGACCTGGTGGCAGCCTCTAACCTCAGGCTGGTGAGTGTCTCTGTCCAGAGGTGATCCATGCAGAGCTCAGGCACGATGGGCTCCGTGTCTGGCAGCAGGAAGGACTCACTGCAGGTGCTGCTGGGCGAGTGGGTCAGGCTGTGCCTCCTGGGGGACTGGGTGCTGCTGGAGAAGTTGAACCTCTGCACCCCAGAGAAAGAATGCACCCCCAGGGCGGGGGAGTGCGAGCGGCTGCAGGCAGAGAGAGGCAGGAGGCACCACTCAGGAGCTGAGCTTCACAAACCCACCCTGCCAGAGGCTTCAAAAACACACCCCAAGCCACCCTAAACCAGCTGCTAGCTCAGGAGCCAGTTCTTCTAGCAATGCACTGCAGAATAGGGAAATAATTCTCTAGTTAATCTCCAGCCATCCCTGTTAGAATCCAATGTTAGATTTGACAAACCCCATTTGAAGCTGTGTGGTTCATTCCATCCAACCTCTCTCCCAACCTGTTCCTTCTAAAGGTGTCTACAGAACACTCAAATAACCTGCAGATGGTCCTCAGCTCCACCACAGACAGGCTGTGTGGTGGCAGAACAGCCCCTCTGGCTCTCACACACCCATGACCCTCCTGTGCTGTCAGGATAAGAACACACCACATGTCCCAGCAGCATTTCAGGAGGGTTTTCTGATGCTCTGCCAGAAGCAGCTGCACCTTGGACAGCCAGACTTGTAACAGGCAGCAATTCCAGAGGTTTATCCTATTCCATAGCTCATTTTCATAGAATCACAGAATGTCTGGGCTGGAAGGGACCTCCAAAGGTCACTAGTCCAACCCCCATCCATAAGCAGGGACATCTACAACTAGATCAAGGCAGATCTTGAATGTCCCCAGGGATGGGGCCTCCACCACCTCTCTGGGCAACCCATTCCAGGGTTCTGTCACCAT